GAGGCACCAAGGACATCTCAGCTCCCATGGGCTCTCAAACTCAGAGCTAATTGGGCTACCACCTGCTGCTGCTGCTGCTGTGTGCTCTGGATCCCAGGTCCCGCCACAGCCCAGGGAGCACAGTTCTTCATCCGCCATGGTTTCTTGATGGATGAATAAAGCAGGGGTTTTGCTTCAGGGCCCCCATCTGAGGCCTGCATTTGAAGATCTGCCACGCCAGCACGGCAACTGTCGTTCTTCTGAGCGAGGGAGGTCGAGATTAACATGCAACACAACTTCAGGTTCTGCAGACAAGCCTTTATTCCACTTTCTCACACAGTATATATAGCCCTCAGCAGGGGAAGCCAAGACAGCAGAAGCAGGAAGCTCATCACCTCAACTCAATGGCTTAGGGGTAAACATCCTTAGAAACATTGCTGAAAACAACGGATTGTCCCTGGTTTTGTTCTTGTTTTCAACCAACTGCAAGAGTGCAAAACAGATCAAGTGGGGGTGCAAAGGCCTGTCCTCTAGGGACCCAACAATTCCCCCTTTTTATTTTAAAAGCATGAGAGCCCCTGTCTTAGGACTCCCCAAGAGAGAGACTCTTACCCATCTATGGGAGGCCTTAATCCCTGTCTTGGGCGAGCTCACTATACCAGGAGTGTTGCCCGTCGTAGGAATCCCTCATGACTTCTGCAATATCTGCAGCCAGACTTGGGACACTTCCTGATTACCAGAAGACAGTCCAAGTAACACTTGTCGAGTGACAGTGTGCTGTATGTGGGATTGCCACATAAAGCAGCAGAGAATCCAAAAACAGATAACCCCAATAACAATATGAGTACAAGTGAGCGTTCCAGACCCAGCCCCCAAGCTGGGCCATGGCATTCTACTGACTGGATCCAGACACAGCAGGGACCCATGTGCTATTAATACTAACAATATGATAAGCTATCTGCAGGGTGAAATACAAAAAGGAATTCCAAGGGCCATCCAAACATGCATTCAACTGTTCAACCACATCAGAAGGATTTATAACATTAGCAGGTGTAACGTACAAGACACTTGTTGCAGGAGTCAAAGGGAATCTACCTGTTCTTGCAAAAGCACAGTTTGTTGATTTAAATTTAAAAGTCCAAGTCCAATATGAGAGTCCAGAGCACTCTGTGTCTACAGGGACTTGCTAACCCTCCCAGACAGTTGATTTACAGTCTCTGTAGTCACAGCTGTCTGTGAAATGGCAACTCCAGCAACCGTAGCCACAGTGGCAGTGACAGCAACAGCAGCAACAATTGCAGTTGTTTGCCCGCTGTTGATAAAGGATGATCTCCTGATGTTCTTGAGACACCAGCCCCGGCAGAGGAATCACAGCAGGCACACAAACGATGAAGGCTCTATCAGAACCGTCCCAGCAATTACTCAGTTTGCAGATCCTGGAAGAACAATTAAGAATATCGCCCCCCAAAGTGCCATTCCACAATACAAAGAAAAATGGGGCAGGAACGCAAGCAGAGGATCAAATAGTCATTTCTTACTTAAACTTACTTGAACTTGAGTTCAAGCTTGCCTGGTCTAATTTTTCTTATAACCTTGAGGGCTATGAGAGACTTCTGATTTAGCTCATGAGAAAAGAACACTCTGTCTAACAGATGGTATACCACCGATGGCAAACCTCAGGAACATCAAGACAGAATGTAAGGTTGCTTCCGAGCAGCAAGCACCTGTTGGAGAGGAGGCTGCTCACTCAAGGACAGGAATGGTCTTGTGGTTAGATACTGACTGACCATCTGTGCTGTGCTTTGTTCTGCTTTTGTAAATAAGCAAGTTCTGAAATAAACTCTGGGATGTTTGGCTGCTTTGGCATGACCAGACAGACCTCCCGATTCTATCCTGTCTTCTGTTTCTTCTGAGTTTTCTTTGGCCTCGAGGATTCTCTATCTTGCAGGAACAGGTTCCTACAGTGGGGTAAAGGGAACACTTCTGCATTGCTGGTGGGAATGCAAGCTGGTACAACCCCCTTGGATGTCAGTGTAGTGATTTCTCAGAAAATTAAGAAACAACCTTCGTCAAGACCCAGCAATACCTATTTGGTTATATATCCAAAGGATGCTCAATTGTGCCACAAGGACATGTGCTCAACTATGTTCATAGCAGCCTTGTTTGTCATAGCCAGAACCTGGAAACAACCTAAACACCCCTTGACCAAAGAATGGATAAGAAAAATGTGGTATATTTTCACATGGAGTACTACACAGCAGAAAAAATAACGACAGCTTGAAATTTGCAGGTAAATGGATGGATTTGGAAAACATTATTTTGAGTGAGGTAACCCAGACACAGACAATTATCACATGTACTCACTCATAGGAGGTTTTTAAACATAAAGCAAAGTAAAGCAGCCTAGAAATCACAATACCAGAGAACTTAGACAACAATGAGGACCCTAAGAGAGGCACACATAGATCTAATCTACATGGGAAGTAGAAAAGGACAAGATCTCCTGAGTAAATTGGAAGCATGGGAACCTTGGGAGAGGGTTGAAGGGAGGGGAGAGGCAGGGAGGGGAGTAGAGAAAAATGTAGAGCTCAATAAAACTCAATGAGAGAGAGAGAGAGAGAGAGAGAGAGAGAGAGAGAGTGAGTCCTGGCTTTATTGAGTGAGGACAAAGTCCCAAGTCCTCAGAAGTGGCTTTCAGGTTCTGAGAGCATAAAGGTGTGGTTTGGTTTGGGAAGTATAAAAACCTGGTGATTTCAATCTTGCTCTATATTGATTCCAGGTTCGTCTGGCGAGAATGGTGGGGATCTCACTGCGGGCTGCTCCCACGCTCTGCTTCCCTATTTTGCCACAGTTGTGTCCTGCCATCCTGACCCCTCCAGCGCTTTTCACTGCATCAGTCTACATAGACAACAATGACGTTCAAGTGCAGTGGGCCTGGAGTCCTGAGGGTGGGGCAAGCAGAAGGAGCTGGAGCATTGGGGACCCTCAGGAGCACAGACCGAATTTCCAAACCTGCCTCCAGAACCTGCTCCACCTCTACAGCCAGAGTCAGAGCGGTGAGTGACTTTCCGGGTCGGGGATCACGACCCCTCACGACCCAGCGCAGGGTCCCGAACTCCCCTGATCCCAGTGTTCGAGGTTCCTCAGGAGGCTGTGGGTATCTGAATTTTGCTTTAGGTTTGGGGACTGTACCTGCGGGTGGGCGGTATTGGGTTGGTCGGGCTGGGTACGGTGCCAGGTGCCCACACTATCCAGGACATTCACAGCTGCCCCAGAGTGAAGAGGACATGGGTCCGGTTAAAGTCCTAGGTCATGCAGTGGCTTTTGACAGCATTTTCTGTATTAAGGACGTCAGAACAATGCCCGGCACTGTTTTCAGTACACACAGTTCAACTTTCAACTCCGACCGGGTTCCTCTCTCCCTACACAAATGATGAACTCCCAGTTCTCATTGGACACCGAGTTTCTAGAGAAACCAATCAGTGACACAGAGGTTCCAAGTAGAGCAATTTACAGGAATCGCTTCTACACCCTTCACAGGCTCCTGTAGTGAGGAAAATGTCTTATTCTTCCTGGCTCAAGCTGTTGGCGAGCGCCATAGTCCTGGTCCAGACACAGGCTAGTGAGTAAGGGGTGGGGAGGACTCTCAGGGACGGAGCAGGGAGGCGGGTGGGGAGTACGCCATAAACTTATCTTACTGCCCCATCCAGTGTCTCCCCAGCCTTCACCCGGGACCCTGGGCCCAGAAGGAGGTTCGGCGTCTCACTGCTGCCCTGACACAAGCTTACACTCGTTGCGGTATTTCCACACCATCGTGTCCCGGCCCGGCCTCGGGGAGCCCAGATTCATCGCGGTCGGCTACGTGGACGACACGCAGTTCGTGCGCTACGACAGCGACGCGGAGACTCCAAGGATGGAGCCGCGGGCGCCGTGGGTGGAGCAGGAGGGGCAGAAATATTGGGAGAAGGAGACAAAGAAAGCCAGGAACACAGGAAAGCACTTCAAACTGAATCTCCAGACCCTGCTTGGCTACTACAATCAGAGTGCCGACGGTGAGTGAACGCGGGCCCCCTCCAACTCCCCTGAGAGAGGCTTGGGTCATTTTCACCCGCTGAGTAGAAGTTTCAGCCAAACGCCTGCCCAGACCCTCTAACAAAAAGGACCCCGCAGAGTTCGGCTCAGGTTTCAGTTGCACTTTTGTTTCTGAAAGGTCGGGTTGCGGACGCACTGACAGCGGGCAGGGTGGCCACAAGGTGGCGCTAACCACTGTGTCCCCACCAGAACCTCACACTCTGCAGTGGATGTATGGCTGTGACGTGGGTCCAGATGGGCACCTGCTCCGCGGGTACTGTCAGGAGGCCTACGATGGCCGGGATTATATCTCCCTGAACGAGGACCTGAAATCCTGGACCGCAACTGATGCGGCCTCTCAGATCTCTAAACTCAAGTCAGAGAACGTGAACGAGGCCGACCACCAGAGAGCTTACCTGCAGGGCCCCTGCATAGACTGGCTCCAGAGATACCTGCAGTTGGGGAACGCGACCCTGCTGCGCTCAGGTACCTGGAGACTCACCCTCGCTTTTCCTCTGTAGTGTGGGGGAAACACTCTGGGCATCCTCAGAGGAAGAACACTGTCCAGCAGGCACCGGGATAAGGAGTAAGGACAGGGAGACTCCAGGCTGCTTTCCCCATTGGGAGACTAACTCTTTCACAGCAGGTCAGCCTTGACGATGGCCCTGGACCCACAGGAGCTTTTTCTCTCAGGCCTCCTCTGAAGTCACCCTCGGTGTCTCTGGAGTCTGACTCCAGCTTTTCTGAGTCTCCTGGCCCTCACTCAGCTCAGGACCAGAATCCCTTCCCCTTCATCAGTCTGCAGAGCCCTGAAGCCTCCTACCCCAAACTGTCACTCACATCTTAGAGCATCCCTGGAGCACATGACCCTGGGGCCTGTGCTCTAGCTGGGGTCTACTAATATCAGGACACCCTAATCCCACCCAGTTCCCTGTCCACTCCCAGAATGGTCACATGAACAACTCTTTCCCTCAGACCCCCCAAAGGCACATGTGACCCATCATACTAGATCTAAAGGTGAAGTCACCCTGAGGTGCTGGGCCCTGGGCTTCTACCCTGCTGACATCACCCTGACCTGGCAGAGGGAGGAGGAGGAACAGACTCAGGACATGGAGCTGGTGGAGACCAGACCTTCTGGGGATGGAACCTTCCAGAAGTGGGCATCTCTGGTGGTGCCTTCTGGAGAGGAGCACAAATACACTTGCCATGTGCACCATGAGGGGCTGCCTGAGCCCCTCACCCTGAAATGGGGTAAGGAGGGAGTGGGTGCAGAGCTGGGGTCAGGAAAAGCTGGAGTCTTCTGCAGACCCTGAGCAGGGTCAGGGCTGAGAGCTGGGGTCATGACCCTCAACTCCCTTCCTGTCCTTCCCTTCCCAGAGCCTCCTCAGTCCACGGTCCCCATCATGGCAGTCATTGCTGGTCTGGTTCTCCTTGGAGCTTTGACCATCATTGTAGCTGTGGTGGCTGTTGTGAGGAAGAGGAGGAGAAACACAGGTAGGAAAGGGCAGGATCTGAGTTCTGTCTCTGCCCCTTTTAGAAGTGTCTCTGCCTCATTAATGGGAAGCACATCCACACCCTCATTGCTGCTGTCTCTACCCGGGGTCTGTTACTAGTTCTGGAAACTTCCTAGGGTCGGGGACTTCCCTGGTCTCTCACAGCTTTTCTTCTCACAGGTGGAAAAGGAGGGAACTATGCTCCAGCTCCAAGTAAGTGTGAGGAATGAACAGGATTGTCCCTGAAGCCTTTGGGTTGAAGCTGGATTTTTTTGGGAGCTCTGGAAATCCATAATAGCTCCACCAAAATATTCTGGGGTCCCTGTTTTTACCTTTCCATTAATATATAATTTTACCCCAGGCAGGGACAGTTCTCAGAGCTCCGATGTGTCTCTCCCAGACTATAAGGTGACCCTCTGGGACCTGACTTGGGGAGGGGCAGAATGAACATGATTGGGTTTCAGGGACCTCCAGAATCTCCTCTGAGTGAGTGGTGGATTGTTGAGATGTTGTCTTCACAGTGATTGTTCATGACTCTTGTTCTGTAGTGTGAAGACAGCTGCCTGATGTGGATGGAGTGACAGACGATGTGTTCAAGTCTCTCCTGTGACATCCAGGGCCCCCCAGTTCACTCTCAACAATAGTGTGTAATGGTCCCTAGGGGCTCAATGTGAAGAACTGGGGAGCCCAGCCCAGCCCTGCACACCTGACCCTGTCCCTGCACTGCCCTGTTCCCTTCCACAGCCAACCTTCCTGTTCTGCAGACAGGAGGGGACATCGCCACCCTGTCTTCTCCATGTTGCTCTGAGCTACAGCCTCTGACTTCCCCATTGAAAATAAGAATCCGGGGCTGGAGAGATGGCTCAGTGGTTAAGAGCATTGCCTGCTCTTCCAAAGGTCCTGAGTTCAGTTCCCAGCAACCACATGGTGGCTCACAACCATCTGTAATGAGATCTCGTGCCCTCTTCTGGCCTTCAGGCATACACGCAGACAGAATATTGTATGCCTAATAAATAAATAAATAAATAAGTAAATAAATAAATATTAAAAAGAAAAGAAGACTCTGCTGTGGGACAATGGTCTTGTACCCTGTCACTTGTATTGCTTTTAATAATATGCTGATTGGCCAGTAGCCAGGAAGGAAGTATAGGCAGGGCGACCAGGCAGGAAATAGTGTGGCTGAGTTTGGAGTTGACAGAGGAAACAAGATGAGAATACCTCTGTCAACAAGAATCTGAATGTAAACTTGATTGTTAATGTCCTTGATCTCAAGGTTGATTGGCGGTAAAATAAAGGATTGAGACAGAGTTTATGGAGGAAATAAATGGCAACATGGAGAACCTCCCAGAATCTGTGTTCACAATGCTGTGTGCATCAGGTGGGACAGGATGAGTCTGTGGGATCTGAGTGAGAACAGGGCTGTGTCCAGGTGGAGCTCAGTGCATTGTTGGCTGTGACAAGGTCACTTGTCAACTCTGTCCCCTCCTGGCTCAGTTCTCTTGGTCACTCAGAACCAAATGCAGAGAGGATGAATCCACAGGGTCTCATCTGAGATCTGTCTTTTGGATCTGTTTTCTGCCCAAGGTTCCCTCTCCTTCTCTGCCTCTGGGAATCCTGGTGCTGCCTTCAGTGGAGACTCAAGGATTTACAGGCTTAGTCTACTTTAGATTTATGTTTATTAAAAAACATGATCCAGGGACTGAAGAGATGGCTCAGGGCTTGAGAGCACTTGCTGCTCTTGTGGAGGATCCAGATTCAGACCCCAGTACCCACCTGATGGCTCATAACCATCCTTAACTGCTGTTCCAGGGCATCCAATGTCCCTGTGGGAACCATATAGGCATATGGTATAAATATATACAAGCAAGAAGAACACACATAGACATTAATTAATAAATCTTTCAAGAAATAGATTGTAAGAACACCAGAAATAAAAATTTCTCCATTTCCTGCTCGAGGTTCCGTCCCCCACAGTTTTCTCTTCTAGCTTTGTGACTTTGAGTCAGGAGCTCCAGGAGCCTGAGCAGAGACATCTGATGACCAAGGAGGTGATCATCTCTGTCATGGTGCTGCCATCTTTGTCTTCTGAGGGATGCTGACTTCCAATCCCTGGGACCCAGCAAGCATTCATAGCCAATAAATGTTTAATGAATAAATAAACATAAAGAGGATCATGCACCCCAGAGTGAAGGGCAGGTGGGGAGAGGGAGGGAATGCTTTGCTGAGGGAAAAGCTCAGGTGACTGTGACCTCAGTGTGAGGGGACCTGGGGCTGCACGTGACACCCCAGCACTTGGCCTGAGGTTGTGTTAACAAAGGGAGCTTCTGTAGAACAGGGAGGTGACTGAATTTTTCTCTGGACTAAAACATCACTGCTGGAGCCAGGAGGAGCTGAGGAGGAACAGGAAACACAAGAAGCTACAGGTTCACGGAGCTGACACAATGTAGCACTTCCCTCTCAGGGTTAAACCAGCTACAGCTCCTGAGGGAGAGGAGGCTGTGGAGTGGAGCTGCTGGGAGCTGTGCAGGGGGCTGCAGTGGTGCAGCTGTGTGAGTGGACATGCGCACTGGGGGGCTGTCAGAGGTTATCCCCGACTCACCCAGGCTCCTGTGAGGGACCAGTGAGCTCAGGGCTCACCGAGCTAACTGTGGATAGATGTCTTCCTTGGTCTGCTGTCACTGTCTCCATCTGGGTAGGGGAAATCCGCTCCTCAAGCAGGGGACATAGCTGTGTTCATTTGGCTTGTTGCACAGTCTGTTCCAGATGTGAGATCTAAGTCCTGTTTCTGAGACACACTAGGAAGGAATACAATGTTGCTGGTTCCTGGAGCAAGCTCTGGTGGGAGCTGCCTGTGATACAGTGTAGGGAATAAACAGGGACAGGTTGTCTCAGGAGGTGGCGGGCAGAACAGAAGGTGTCCAGAGTGTAGGTGAGAAGAACAAGGTAGAGAGCTATTGTTTTAAGATGTATTATATTTTTTAGTGTGGCATGCTGGCACATTCCTTTATTCCTAGCCCTCTAAAGGAAGCGGCAGGTGAATCTCTGTGAGTTCATGGCCATCCTGTTCTATATGTTGACATGTTTCAAAAATATATTTTAATCGTGTGTGTGTTAACCACTTTTCTGTTGCTGGGATAATCACCACGGCCAAAGCAACACTGAGAAGAGTTTGTTTGGGCCGCAGCTCCAATGGATAGGAGTGCACTATGACAGGCAAGCAGTGCACTGAGCTGCAGGCATGGTGACTGGAGCAGGAAGCTGAGAGCTCACATTCTCAGCGGCAAACAAAGAGGAGAGGGCAAAATGGACCAGATGGGAATTTTACTCTCACAGCCTCCCCCAATATACTTTTTCCAGCAAGACCATGCCTCTTAAACCTCAACCTCCCAAATAGCACCACCAAGTAGGTAACAAAGTTCAACTACCCAAGACCATGAGGACATTTCTCATGGAATCCACCACAGTGGATGTGTGGCATCCTTCTGAGTGTGGTCAGGTGAGTGCAGTGGTCCTGGGGGTCAGAAGAGGGTGTCAGAGCTCCTGGGTGTGGGTCCTGGGAACTGAAGGTGGTTCTCCCCAGGAGCAGAACGGGCTAGGAGTGCCCCCGCCATCCCTCCAGCCCTAGGAATGCTGTTTAAATAGGTGTTCAGTGTGGTGTTAATTCAGAGGATAACGTATGGGGAATGTTTGAACATCCTAAGAAATCTTTTATTGACTTCCTACTTTCCAATTTGTATCCCCTTGATCCCCTTTAGTTGTCTTATTTCTCTAGCTACAACTTCCACTCCAACACTGAATAGCTATGGAGAGTGGACAACCTTGTATTGTTTCTGATTTTAGTGGAATTGCTTTGAGTTTCTCTGCATTTAATTAGATGTTGGCTGTAGGTTTACTGTATATGCCTTTATTATGCTTAGGTATGCCTGTATTCTGGTCTCTCCAAGACTTGAAAGAATGTTTGATTTTATCAAAGGCTTTTTTCAGCATCTAATGAGATGATCATGTGTTTTTTTTCTCTCAGTTTGTTTATATGATGGATAATATTGACTTATTTTCATATATATATTGAACCATCCCTGAATCTCTGGGATGGAGCCTACTTGATCATGGTGGATGCTCTTTTTGATATGATCTTAGATTTGGTTTGCAAGTATTTTGTTGAATATTTAAAAGCGTCTATGTTCATAAGGGAAATTGGTTCATAATTCACTCTTTTTGAATCTTTGTGTAGTTTGAGTATCAGGGTGACTGTGATCTCACAAAATGAATTTGGCAATGTTCCTTGTGTTTCTGTTTTGTGGAGTACCGGAATTAGCTCTTCTTTGAAAGTCTGTGCTAAACTGTTTGTTCCCTAGGGTTTTTTGGTTGGAAGACTTTAGTGACTGCTATTTCCTTAGTGGTTATAGGTCTATTTAAGCTGTTTGTGTGATCTTGATTATACTTTGGCAAGTGGTAGCTATCAGGAAAATTGTCCATTTCTTTTGTACTTTCCAATTTTATGGAATACAGGTGCTGTTTATATCTATCACTTTATTTACCAATAAAGACTTAGGAATCAGACGTTGGGATGAAAACTTGCTAGCTTTGAGAGACTGCGGCACTATTAACTGATGTTTCCTCTTCACTGGTGTCTCAGAAAGAGCATGCTTTGGCTCCACCAAACCAAAAAAGACTGCCACATTCCAAGTCCCTCCCAATTACTTCCTGTGTATGAGCCCACCCTCCCTCTTATGTCAATTTAGGCTGTTTTTTAAAAGGGGAAGAGGGGCTGAAGAGACGGCATGAACAGTCCCAGGACTTTACCTGTGTCTGTTTATCACTAGTCATCTAGTTTCCTTACTGCTCACACAAGGTCACTAAAGGACAGGGGTGTGGGGTGGCTGGAGAGATGGCTCAGTGGTTGAGCGTTCGCTGCTCTTTCAGGAGACCCGAGTTCAACTTCAGCAGCCACAGAAGTGGTTCACAACTACCTGAAACCCCAGCTCCAGAGGACCTGATACTCTCTTCTGGGCTTCCTGGACACGTGCACTCACACGTGCACACACGCACATAATGTAGACCAGGCTGGCCTAGAACTCAGAGATCCACCTGTCTCTGCCTCCCAAGTGCTAGGATTAAAGGTGTGCACTTTAATCACCTGGCCCACTCAGGATATTTTTATATGGCCTTGGGCTTTTGGTGTATAAAACAGGTATACAAATCAAATTACTGATAATAAAATATTAGTAATTTATTTTAAAACCAATTACTTGGTATACATATAGAATTTTACCACTTATTAAGGATTCAAACAAATTTGCCTATAAATATGCTTATTTCAAAGAATTATACTTCGTCAGGTGTGGTGGTCCGTGCTTGTAATCCTAGTAATTGACAAGTGGAGACACAGGACCAGGAGTTCAAGGTCATCCTTACCCACATAGCAAGTTCAAGGCCACCCTGGACTACAGAGCTACGTGAAAACCCCTCTCAAAACACACACAGGGTGGGATGAGTCTCAGCCAAGTATTTGATCCTGAAGAACACAGAGCATCTTCAATGTTTTTCAGTTACTGAGAGTTTGATGTTATTGTCATCTACACTGAAGATGCCACGTCTATAAATCCACGGCACAGAATGACAGAAGCATGCTCCAGGCCATTTTGGGAACTGTGACCTAATCCCAAACCTCAGTCCATTCAACAATTTGTTGTGCTGCTTTTTTGAAACAGGGTCTCACGTGGCCCGGGCTGGCCTTGAACTTGCTCTGTAGCAATCCCTGCTTCGTGCAGTGCTGACCACGAAATTCAGGGTTTCATGTGTTCAAGGCAAGTGCTCTACTAACCGGCTAAATCCTAAACTACTAACCGGCTAAATCCTAAAC